GACACAAACTAAATCTCTACAAGTTCAAGAAGATTGAAATCATATCAAGCATCTTCTCAGATCACAATGGCATGAAACTAGAAATCAATTGCAACAAGAACATGCAAAGACATTTCAACACATGGAGGCTAAATAGCATGTTATTAAACAATGAATGGGTCACCGAGGAGATCAAGGAAGGAATTAAAAACTTCTTGGAAACCAATGAAAATGAACACACAACAACACAAAATCTATGGGATGCAGCGAAAGCAGTTCTGAGAGGGAAGTTCGTAGCACTACAGGCCTACCTCAAAAAACAAGAAAAATTTCTAATTGACTGTTTAACCTCACAACTTAAAGAATTAGAAAGCAAACAAAAAGAAAACCCCAGAGCAAGTAGAAGGAAGGAAATAGTAAAGATCAGCGCAGAAATAAATGACATAGAGACCAAAAAAACAATTCAAAGGATCAATGAAACAAAGAGCTGGTTTTTCGAAAAGATAAACAAGATTGATGGACCCTTAGCTAGACTCACCAAGAAACAAAGAGAGAGAACCCAAATACACAAAATCAGAAATGAAAGAGGAGAAGTAACAACCAACACCACGGAAATACAAAAGATCATTAACAACTACGATGAAGTGATACCTCGGTTCTCGAACGCCTCGGTTTTCGACCAAATCGGTATTCGACCAGGAGATTCGAGAAACTTTTGTCTCGGAATCCGAACAAATATTTGGAACTCGAACTTCCGAGATGAGCCGAGTTGAGCCAAATGGCGTTCATTCGGCCCAGCGCGCCTTGCTTGCGTCATCAGTGTGAGTGCAGAGAGAGAGTCACGCTTTGTGGAGTCACGCTTTCCTATTGGGTTTCATTGCTTCGGTTCTCAAACAATTCGGTTCTCGACCGTCCTCCTGGAACGAATTATGTTCGAGAACCGAGGTATCACTGTATATGGCAACAAATTCGACAATCTAAGCGAAATAGACAAATTTCTAGAAACACACAGTCTCCCAAAACTGGACCGGGAAGAGATAGAAAACTTGAACAGACCAATAACAACTAAGGAAACTGAAGAGGTAATCAAGACTCTCCCAACAAACAAAAGCCCAGGCCCAGATGGCTTCACGGGGGAGTTTTACCGAACATTCAAAAAAGAACTAACACCCATTCTCCTCAAATTATTTCAAAAACTTCAAGAAGAAGGAAGACTTCCAAACACGTTCTATGAGGCCAGCATAATTCTAATTCCAAAACCAGAAAAAGACACTACGAAGAAAGAAAACTACAGGCCAATATCCCTGATGAACATAGACACCAAAATCCTGAACAAAATATTAGCAAATCGGACCCAGAAATACATCAAAAAAATTATTCACCATGACCAAGTGGGATTCATCCCAGGGATGCAAGGCTGGTACAATATTCGCAAATCAATAAATGTGATACACCACATAAACAAAATGAAGAATAAAAACCACATGATCATATCAATAGATGCCAACAAAGCATTTGACAAAATCCAACATCCATGTCTAATAAAATGCATAGCAATGTGGGAATAGAGGGATCATATCTCGACATAATAAAGGCCATATATGAAAGACCTACAGCCAACATCATACTCAATGGACAGAAACTAAAAACATTTCCATTAAGAACAGGAACGAGACAGGGATGTCCACTTTCGCCACTCTTATTTAACATTGTACTGGAAGTCCTAGCCACAGCAATCAGACATGAAGAAAAAATAAAAGGGATCCAAATTGGAAAGGAGGAAGTGAAACTCATTATTTGCAGATGACATGATATTATACATAGAAAACCCGAAAGACTCCATCAAAAATCTACTAGACTTAATAAGTGAATTTGGCAAAGTAGCAGGATACAAAATTAACGTCAAGAAATCGACGGCATTCTTGTACACCAATGATGAACTCACAGAAAGAGAAACTGAAAAAACAATCCCATTTACCATCGCGCCAAAAAAATTAAGATACCTAGGAATAAAGTTAACCAAAGAAGTAAAGGACCTATTTGCAGAACACTACAGGTCATTGACAAAAGAAATAGAGGAAGATATAAAAAAGTGGAAGCACATACCCTGTTCATGGATTGGAAGAATTAACATCATTGAAATGTCCATACTACCCAAAGCAATCTATAGATTCAATGTAATCCCCATCAAAATACCAACGACATATTTCATAGAACTAGAACAAATACTTCAAAAGTTCATATGGAACCAAAAAAGACCCCGAATAGCCACAGCAATCTTGGAAAAAAAGAACAAAGTAGGTGGGATCACAATACCAGATATCAGGTTATACTACAAAGTGACTGTAACCAAAACAGCCTGGTACTGGCACAAGAACAGGCATATAGACCAGTGGAACAGAACTGAAAACCCAGAAATGGACCCAAAGCAATACGCTCAATTAATATTTGACAAAGGTGGCAAGAGCATACAGTGGAGTAAAGATAGCCTCTTTAATAAATGGTGTTGGGAAAATTGGACAGCTACATGCAAAAAAATGAAACTAGACCATCAACTTACACCATACACAAAAATAAACTCAAAATGGATAAAAGACTTAAATGTGACCCGTGAATCCATAAAAATTCTAGAAGAAAATGTAGGCAACAAAATTTCGGACATCATACGGAGCAGAATTTTCACTGAAACATCACCTAAGGCAACAGAAACAAAGGAAAAAATGAACACATGGGACTACATCAAACTAAAAAGCTTCTGCACAGCAAACGAAACAATCATCAAAATGGAAAGGCAACCCACTGTATGGGAGAACATCATTGCCAATGATGTATCAGATAAGGGGTTAATTTCCAATATATATAGAGTGCTCATACAACTCCACAAAAGGAAGACAAAGAACCCAATTTAAAAATGGGCAGCCCTGGCCTGTTTGGCTCAGCGGTTAGAGCGTCCGCCTGCGGTCTGGAGAGGCCCGGGTTCGGTTCCCGCTAAGGGCATGTACCTCGGTTGCAGTTTGTCCCCGGCCCTGGTTGGTCGTGCGGGTGGCAGCCACTCGATGTGTCCCTTTCACATCGATGTTTTCCTCTCTCTCTCTTCCTCTCTCTCCCTCCCACTCTGTCTGTACAAAAAATGGAAAAATGTCCTCGGATGAGGATTAAAAAAAAAAAAAAAAAAATGGGCAGAGGAGCTGAATAGACACCTCTCCAAACAGGACATACAAATGGCCAAGAGACATATGAAGAAATGCTCAACATCACTAATCATCAGAGAGATGCAAATTAAAACAACAATGAGATATCACCTCACACCTGTCAGAATGGCCGCCATCAACAAATCATCAAACAACAAGTGTTGGCGAGGGTATGGAGAAAAGGGGACTCTAATACACTGCTGGTGGGAATGCAGACTGGTGCAGCCGCTGTGGAAAACAATATGGTGTTACCTCAAAAAATTAAAAATTGAACTTCCATTTGACCCAGTGATCCCACTTCTAGGAATATACCCTACGAAGCCTGAAACACCAATCAGGAAGAATATATGTACCCCCATGTTCATAGCAGCACTATTTACAATAGCTAAGACCTGGAAACAGCCCAAGTGTCCATCAGTAGACGAATGGATAAAAAAGCAGTGGTACATATACACAATGGAGTACTATGCAGCAGTAAGAAAGAAAGATCTCTTATCCTTTGAGATGACATGGAGGGACCTGGAAAGTATTATCCTAAGTGAAATAAGCCAAGCAGAAAAAGACAAATACCACATGATCTCACTTATATATGGAATATAATGAACATAACAGTCTGAGGAATACAGTAGACCCAGAAACATGGAAGTAGGGCACAGACTGACATCCCTCAGAAGAGGGGGTGGGGGGGGTGGGAAAAGATAAACCACAGAACTTATATGCATGTATGCATGACCAATGGACGTGGACAACTAAGCCGGGGACGGGGCGGGGGTGCGGTGGGGAGGGGGTGCCAATGGGGTAAAAAAGGTAAAATATCTGCAACAAAAAAATAAGTAAATAAATTTAAATAAATAAATAACATCACAGTACGTCGTAAAGGAAACTGAAAAAATTAAGTTTGGCCTAGTTTCCACAAATAACTGCATTTGTTTTTTCGAGATTATATTACTAAATAAGTACGGATCACTCTGATTTGTTCATTTTCCTCTCTGGGAAGATGTACAGATACAAGTGGAAAAAGATTTAAAATAAGATATTAAAGGTGTGAAATTGAAAGATTCAAAGCTCTTGTTCTCACAGCTACTACAATGCACATGACACATTTGCATTACACAGGCCACTCTTTAGACATGCATCTGTTTCTTGCCACTTATTATTCCTGGGGAAACACAAGGTAAATACACTAATACAATTATAACTAAACTACATGCAAATTGATACCAACATATTATAGTTGCCTAGGTAATAATAGCCCTATATTTCCCCCAGTAAACTGGCAGTAATAGCTTTATGTGTATATTACTCATGTTGTGCAATAAAATGAAAGAAGCCCTCTCTTTCCTTAAGATGTGCTTGAAATTGTATCTGTCATGTAATCACATTTTTTTTGTGTAAAATGCTACTATTAGATTTTTTTAAAGTGGTGATTCCCTAAATCCCCAGGAAAGACTGAAGTCTCTGTGAAGAATAGAGTTAACAGTTCAAAGAGAAACATATTCACTAAATAGAAGGTAGATAATATTAGGGCATTAGCCCTAAGGAGGGATCGGAGGATTCTGCTCACTCTGGTAAAAGATTTTGGTTTTTGCCAGGAGGAGCAAAATAGATTCAAAAGAGAATAAAATGAAAGCTTCATGAGATTAGGGTTCTAAACCTAAGTCTAATGCCTACTACTGTTAAATAAATACATGCTAAATAACAATAAATATACTTCTCAAACTATCAGAAAGAAGCCTGAATCACCCAAAGGCCAGACAGTGTAGACTGAAGCACTTCTGTAAGACTTGCCCCCTGAGATGAAGAAGCTAGGCTCTGTATAACTCGTCCTACCTGCTCCCCCATATATATTCTGTGCCTTCTGAGTCCTCATGTACACAAGGAATTTCTGTTCACTCTGTAGCCTGATTGAAGAGTGCATAGCTTCTTGATTATCATGTTATCACACACACACCAAAAGAGGGAGAACTCCAAAATGTGCCTTAAAAAAAACAGAAGAAAAATAAACAAAGGGCACTACATCAAATTTAAAAGTTTTTGCTCAGCAAAGGAAACCATCAGCAAAATGAAAAGACAACCTACTAAATGGAAGAACATATTTGCCAATGATACATCCTACAAGGAGTTAATATCCAAAATTTATAAAGAACTTATATGCATATAGGCATAACCAATGGACACAGACAACAATGCAGTGAAGGCAGGGAGTGGGGAAGAAAGCAAGTAGGGGGAGGTAAGTGGGGGGGGGGGAGGGACATCTGTAATACTTTCAACAATAAATATATATCAAAAAAGTGAAAATAGCCCTGACCGGTTTGGCTCAGTGGTTAGAGTGTCAGCCTGTGGACCAGAGAGTCCCGGGTTTGGTTCCCGCTAAGCCTTAGAGGCTAAGGGCACGTACTCAGCGGCAGTTTGTCCCCAGCCCGGGTTAGGGTCGTGTGGGCGGCAACCGGATATCTCTCTCACATCGATGTTTCTCTCTCTTTCTTCCTCCCTCTCTCCCTCTCGCTCTATCTGAAGATAAATGCAAAAATGTACTCGGGTGAAGATAAAAAAATGAAAATAGTCACAGGGATGTAAATAAAGTACAGTACTGTATAGGAAATCTAGTCAATAATATTGCAATAACTATGTATGGTGCTAGGTGGATACTAAATATCTAGGGGAACACTTTGTAAAGTGTATGATTGTCTAGCCACTATGCTGCACACCTGAAACCAATACAAAATAATATTGACAATAAACTGTAATTGACAAATAAAAAATTTTTATTTTTATTTTTGTCTTTATTGTTGAATATATTACAGATGTTCCTCATATTTCCCCCATTGACCCCCTCCTCCCCACTCCCGCCCCCTTCCCGCCTTTTCCCACACTGTTGTCTGTGTCCATTGGTTATGCATATAAGTTCTTTGGTTTATTTCTTCCCACCCCCAACCCCCTTCCCTTTGAGGTTTGTCAGTCTAGCAACGAATTTGTACTTCTTAATCCCTTCACCTTTTTCACCCATTCCCCCAACCAACAAAATGTTCTCTGTATCTGAGAATGTTTCTGTTCTGCCTGTTTATTTTATTTGTAGATTCAATTGTCGATAGATACGTATTCATTGCCATTTTGTTTGTTCATATATTTTATCTTTTTCTTCAAAAAGACCCTTCAACATTTCATATAATAACGGTTTGATGGTGATGAATTCCTTTAACTTTTTCTTGTCTGGGAAACTCTTTATATGGCCATCGATTCTAAATGACAGCTTTGCAGGATAGAGTAATCTTGGTTGTAGGTTCTTGCTTTTCATCACTCTGAATATTTCTTGCCACTCCCATCTGGCCTGCAAAGTTTCTTTTGAGAAATCAGCTGACAGTCTTGTGGGAACTCCCTTGTAGGTAACTAACTGCTTTTCTCTTGCTGCTTTTAAGATTCTCTCTTTGTCTTGAACCTTTTGAATTTTGATGATGATGTGTCTTGGTGTGGGCCTCTTGGGGTTCATCTCGTTTGGGACTCTCTGTGCTTCCTGGACTTATATGTCTGTTTCCTTCACCAAGTTAGGGAAGTTTTCTGCCATTATTGTTTCAAACAGGTTTTCAATTTCTTGTTCTCTCTCTTCTCCTTCTGGCACCCCCAAGTTGCGAATGTTGGCACGCTTGAAGTTGTCCCAGAGGCATAATGTAATGTCCTTACATTATCCTCATTTTTTTTGGATTCTTTTTTCTTTTTGCTGTTCTGATTGGGCGTTTTTTGCTTTCTATTTTAAATTGATGGTTTGCTTCTTGGCTTTACCTACTCTACTATTGAATCTCTGTAAATTATTCTTTATTTCAGTTAGTGCCTCCTTCATTTCTGACTGTGCATTCTTCATTTCTGACTGGTCCTTTTTTATGTTCTTGAGGCCCTCACTAAGTTCACTGAGCATCCTTATAAGTCGTATTTTGAACTTAGCATCTGTTAGGTTGCTTATCTCCATTTCGCTTAGTTCTTTTCCTGGAGTTTTATTCTGTTCTTTCATTTGGGACCTGTTTCTTTGTCTCCTTATTTTGGCTGCCTCCCTGTGTTTATTTCTATGTATTACTTAATGAGAGGTATGAGGCTATCTGAGACCAGATGCTGGTTGTTTGAAAGAATTTAGGAAAACCTAAAGCAGGATCCAAGACAGGCCAATCCTATGGTCAAGCAAGTGGCAACAGCTTGAGTGGGCCTGAAAGTTGGGTGGGGCAGGGCCTCAGGGAATCACCAGGGCAGGGCAACCAGTGTGAGCCAGGTTGCTGGAGTCCCAGATATGGCGGCTGTCTGCTTCCCCAAGGAAGGGCTCACCAAAGGAACAAAGGCCTCTGATAACATGTTTGTCCCAGAGGATGCTCCCTCTCCAGCCCTCATTCCAATGCCAAACACCTCAGTTCTTCCCTATATGTCTCTGGCGACCCTTGAGCTGCCTCCCTTCCAAGCTTAGAGGGAGTGAGTCCGATAAGTTCGTGCGTGGGCCCTTTAAGAGGAGCTGACTGGGACTCCAGCTGCCTCAGCCTTCCTGAGCCTCAGTTCCCACTGGTTTTTCCAGCCAGAAGTTATGGGAACTTCTCTTCCTGGCACTGGAACCCTGCGCAGGGCGACTCCTCAGTGCTCAGGGAGGACCTTCCCAGCCGAGGTGTCCTCCTGATTTTTATCCGCCACATGTGGGTGTGGAACCAGCCTGTCCACCTCTGCCCCTCCTACCCGTCTCAATGTGGCTGCTTCTTTAATTTTGTAGTTGTAGGACTTCCATTCAGCTTGATTTCAGGCAGTTTTGAATGATGGTTGTTCTGTAGTTTAGTTGTAACTTTTATGTGGTTGTGGGAGGACACGATTTCACGTTTACCTGCCTACCATCTTGACCAGAAGTCAATAAAAAAATTTTAAATCTGCCTTAAGCTCTAGAACTGGCAGTAAAAGGCTGATATTCTCTGTGCCACTATATATAATCCTAAAGTTTTACTTTAAAAAATATATAAGGCCACTTTTTATAAGAAAGGCTACTAGGAGGCAAAGCAAAATGTCAAGAATAAAAATGCTGTCATTAGAAGAAAGCAATGAGGTCCATCAGGAAATGTTTTAGGGTTCCCGTTGTGATGAAACCAAGCGGCGGTGTTTAGGTCCAGGTCCATTGTCTCGCAAAATCAAAGAATGAGTTCATGGCCCTGGCCGGTTTGGCTCAGCAATTAGAGCATCGGCCTGCAGTCCAGAGAGACCCGGGTTTGGTTCTCACTAAGGCACGTACCTCGGTTGCAGTTTGTCCCCAGCCCTGGTTGGGTCATGCAGGTGGCAGCCACTTGTGTCCCTTTCACGTCGATGTTTCTCTCTCTCTCTCTCTCTCTTCCCCTCTCTCCCTCCCACTCTATCTGAACAAAAAATGGAAAAATGTCCTCGGGTAAGGATAAAAAAAAAAAAAAAAAAAGAGTTCATGAACCAAGGGGTAAGCGAAGGGAAAGTTTATTTGAAAGACAGCTCCCACAGTGGGGAGGGGACCCAAGAGGGTTGCTTGTGAGGCTCCATTGCTAGCCTCTGATCGGGTCTTTCAAGGAATTCTGCCTTAGCAACATCCATACATTTTAAAGCTTGTGTTTTCCACTTGACTGAGTTCAGCCCTAGGTCATCTATAGTAGCCTTAGTGGCTTCCTTTTTTTATAATTTCAACTTCTCCAGACTGTTAGTGAGGAGAAAGAGAAACACCCTTGGAGCACCACTATCCTTGCTTTTGGTTTCTTTTCTAAATCCAGTTTTGGTTTTCTATAATTCTTTCTAAGGTAACCTGGCTTTCTGCAATAGAAACACTCTCAACAGTTTCATAGCAGAACTCATTCAGCAATCTTGTTACCTGGCTCCTTCCAGGAGCTTCTAATATGCATTTCTATAAATGGGGGCTGGGAGTTTCTGGCCTTGGAAGCACAATTTCCCATATTGATTTTGGTTTTATTTTGAGTTCTGTAGAGCCTGAATAAACCTCCAGATATACTGTGTACTAGGTTGCCTGCCTGTGTGCTGAGCTCCAAATCATCTAAAACTTTCCACGTATCTCAGCCTTCCCTTTTCCTGGTCCTATCCCTCACTGCCTAACCTGCCTATATATCCTCAGTGACACACACAACCACACACACACACACACACACACACACACACATAACTACAGTTGACCCTTGAACAACATGGAAGAATTAGGGGCATCAACCACTTGCAAAGTTGAAAATCCATTGATAACTTAAGCCAACCCTCTGCATACACAGCTTTCCAATCATGGAGCAAAAATACTATTTTGTCCTGGAAAGTGTGGCTCAGCAGTTAGAGCGTTAGCCTAAGGGCCAAAGAGTTGTGGGTTTGATTCTGGTCAAGGGCACATACCCCTGTTGCAATTCAGTCCCTGGCCCTGGTCAGGGTCATGTGGGAGGCAACCCATTGATGTGTCTTTCTCACCTCTCTCTCTCTCTCTCTCTCTCTCTCTCTCTCTCTCTCCCCCTCCCTCCCTCCTTCCTTTCCTCCCACTCTATCTGAAGATAAGTGGAAAGATATCTTAGGATGAGGATTAAAAAAAAAAAGTGCTGTTTTCAATCCAAGGTTGGTTGAATCCTGGAATACAAAACCTGAGTATATGAAGGACTGACTGTATACTTATTGAAAAAAATCTGCATACAAGCAGACCCACACAGTTCAAAGCAAGCTCTTCAAGGGACAACTGTAATATTAAGTACTTTTGTCAAGTTTTTAAATTAAGAAAGGTGATAAGCCAGATTTATTTTCTCTCTAATTTATTTTCTCTCTAATATCCAAAGGCATATTTTCTAGTTTATACAATCTTGATTACTAGAAACAAGTCTTTAAAATAAGCCTTTAAGTTCCTGTCTACTTTAATTCCCTCTCTGGGCCTCAACACATTTTAATAGAAGATCCCAAGTAACCCTTATTCTTCTTCATACCTAAGCATACTCACTTTCCATTGCCAAATAGCTTAATTTATCTATACAAGAGTCTATTATTTTATCAAAGTACAAGTAAGAGATATACAAAATTTGATATTTTATTTAAATGTCCCTCAATTTCCCTTTAAAATAGATATTGTAGTCTAATGTATGTTTTCTGACACCATCAAGCAATTAACTTGATTCCGACACTATATGCCTAGAGATAGATCACAGATCTCACACATTAAGGGCTCAGTCCCACAAGACTCTTCCATGACACTCAACTTTACATGCCACTCACAAGTCCAGGCTGTTACCTGTGCTTCTGACCAACTGGCTATAAATTGAAGGTTACTACACTCTCTCTCCTCAAGTTCGATTAATTTGCTAAAGTGGCTCAGAATTTGTGACAGAGTGAAATGCTCAGTCTCTCTGACTCCATCTTATTCCAGCCTGCATTATTCCCATGCCCTCTAAAGTAAGAGCTCCTTCTTTAGACACGCTAATAGTTAGAGAAATTCTGGTTGCAGCTTGAGTTTTTAAAAGATCACTCTCTTGCCAAAAGGTGCCTCTACCAAGGTGGGGGGAGAAATGTGTACAAAAATAATGATAGCTTATCAAAGATTTACAGGAGCCTCAACACTGGACTTAGACAAGCTGGGGTCAACAGACTGGGAACAAAGAGATTTCGAGACTTCTCAGTCTTCCTCAGATGTTGGTCTTTGGTCATCAATCAGCTCTTGCCCCTCCCATCTGCCCTTCCCTTGATATAAAAGAAGCCTGAACTCTGTACTTTGTTAAGACGGATTTAAAGAACTGCTAGAGCCCCCATCTTCTTGAATGGTGACTTCTCAATCAATAACTCTTTCCTTACTCCAAACTCTGATGTTTTACGTTTTGGCCTTTTGAGGGATCAGGCACAGGGACTTCTGAGTCAGTAATAAACTCAGAGAAACACTAACGTTTACCAGTTTATTATAAAGGCTATGATAAACAATACAGTGAACAGCCAGATGAAGAGGTAGAGGGTGAGGTACATGGAAAGGTCTCTCTGGGAGTGCCACTCTCCCCACATCTCCATGTGTTCACCAGCCCAGGAGTTCTCCAAACCGTAGTCCTTTCGGCTTTCTACGGAGGCTTCATAACACAGACATGACTGATTGAATCTTTGCCTATAGGTGATGACCCAACCTCCAGCCCCTACCTCCCACTCCCCAGAGGTCAGGGGGTGGGCCTGAAACTTCCAACCCTTTAATTACATGGTTGGTTCTCCCACCTTACATTGCCTTTTCAAAAGTCACCTCATTAATATAACAAAAAGCACTTTTATCATTCTCCTCATTTAGGAAATTCCAAGGTTTTAGGGGCTCGGTGCCATAAATGGGAGCGAAGACCAAATGTATATTTTTATAAATCACATCACAGGTAGTAAGAAAATGAATTATCAGTGAGTTGTGTCCCCTTACCACCCACTGAGACACGTCCTTACCCATTTATAGAAACGCACACAAAGGCAGACAGCTACACCACAGGTTCTCCCAAGGCTCCAACCAACCCACACGCACCGGGGAAGCACTCAGGAGAGAGACCCAAAGACACGGACCTTCAGACAGGTACGAGAGAGGAGACAGGAACAAAAAGGAGAGAAGTGTATTGCTCGGAAAGGATGGACAGCTACTGGGGACTAGCAGCCAGTAGCACACACCCCAGTGTAGGCAAGAACCGAGGAACCCTCCCTCTCCCTCTCCCTCTCTCTCACACACACACACACTCTCTCACACACACAATCTGTACACGTGGTCTCTTACACATACACTCTCACTTTTTATGTACCTGCAGCCTCTCCCATCAGACACACTCTCACACACGGAGTCTGTTAAAGTGCACAGTCGCTCTCACACACGCGCGAAAACACCTACCCTCGCTCTCAGGTCTCTCCCGCTCGCCCAGTCGGCTCCGCCCCCGCCGTGGCCCCGCCCCGGGGGCTCTGCCCGGGCGGCGGGGGCGGGGCGGGCAGTGACAGCAGGGGCGGGGCGGGGCGGGGCGGGGCGGGGCGGAGTGGGCGGTGACAGCAGGGGCGGGGCGGGGCTGCTCCTCCCGGCTCCCCGGCTGGCGGCCGCTGCGGGGAGACTTCTGTCAGCAGCGAGCGCAGCGGGTCCGGGACACGTCTCCTCCGGGGGTGGCGCCGCCTCGCGCTTCGCTACCTGGCCCCTCCGGCGGTCGTCCCCGGCGGCGGGATGTGCTCGGCCCGGGAGCTCCTTGGAGGCGGGAGCGGCAGCGACGGCCGCGGCGACGGCGGGGCGTGCAACGAGGACGGGGACGCGCTGGCCGAGCCGGCGGCGGCGGGGGCCGAGGGGCGGCGCGGGGCGAGCCCGCGGCGCGGGCTGCGGCCGCAGGAGGCGCGCGAGCAGGTGAGCCGGGCGGGGAGGCCCGCAGGTTTCCGAGCGCCCGCGGCGGAGGGCGTGGCCCGCGGCTCCGCATCCGCCCGGAAGAGCGGTTGGACGGCCGCGCTCTGGCGGGTCGCGGGGCCCTGGGTCCGGCGGGGGCGCTCGGCCGTTGCGCTGCCGTCAGCTCCGTGGAAGTCCCTTCTCGGTGGTCACTGCTCCCGAAGCCGTCCCACTTCTTTTCCCACTGGATGCAAGCCCGTCGCCCTGTGCGGCGTTTCGGGGACAGCGGCTGCCTCCGTCCTGGCGTTTCTGAACGACACCTAGCGTCGCGGGCCGGTGTGGGTGGGCTTCGTGTTCAGCCGGTGTCTGGCGTGTGTAGGGGCGAGAATTACAGTAAACGTCTTGCAGGGACTCTCCGAGAGCGGGGTCTTACCATGAACACGAGAGAGCTCAACTTCATTTTGAAGGTAAGAAAAAGTCAAGAAAATCGCTTTCAGTCGGTACCTGGGCGTTATAACACATCAGATGTGTTCAAGATTAGGCGAGGAATTTAGTAAGAGAAATTGAATTGCATGTGGGATGAATTTTCACCAGCAAATACAACTAGACATTCAAAAAATATGCGAGATAAAGCCAACCTTCAGAATCGCATTAAGGAGCAGGAATTCAAATGATTAATTTGCCTTTAGGACAGCCTATACTGTTGGGACAGTCGACACTGGTCTCCTCTCATGATACTTCACAAACTCCAGTATCATCACTAAATGCACTAAGATTAAGTATAACTTCTAGTATTGTCAGTATTTTACTTAGGAAACAGAAGTAAGTGTGTGGCACACACAAATATAATATGCCTTAGCATTAAGCTTGCTCACCACGTGGAAGTAATTTTTCATCGTTATGACAATATAAGAGATGGTGACTAAAGCAAATCATTGGTAGCTAGGAGATCTTCCTGAATCTCTTCCTGGTGGTTTTCCCTGTGAATTGCACCATACTCAGTAGCTAAAGGACTTAGTTTCCTCTTACCTTAGTTCAACTGGAAAAGTGAAGAAAAAGGCAACAGGAACTCACTTGGTAAATGCAGGAGTGGAGGGGTGGGGGAAGTAGGGGTGTGTGGTGCATTTGAGCTGAAGTTCCCAAAGTAAATTGTCATGATTGTAAGAGAGCGTGTGAAATAGTTCATTTATGCTTTTGTGGATATCACATCCTCTGTTGGCTTCTGGTCTTACCAAAACTGAAGGAACCTTGTCAAGTTTGAAGTAGGAGTCAGGCCTCTCAGAGAGAGAAGCAAGGAAGAGTGGCAAAATGCCCGAGGAACTGAAGGGACAAGGCACAGTTAATCTTACATGTGTGTTGGTAATTGTGTGCACGAGAGATGGTCCAAGTATGTTTATGACTGTGAAGGCCATGTAACTTCATGTACGAGAGTCTCTGCCTTGCTGCATCGCTGGAAGGCTAAACATCCAGTCCATTTATTATACATCTGTAATGTGAGTGGCATCCACTTAGATGCAGCAGTGCACAGCCTGAATAATCTAAGACAGCCTTACTTATCTAGAGTGCAGAGAGGTCCTGTTATCCTTAGATCCACCTTTAGCTGTTAGGTCTTGATCATTATAAAAGTAATGTGTACTTCAGAAAATGTAGAAATTTAGAAAGATCTAAATAAGGAAACAAAAGCATTTGAAGTCCCACACAGGAATCTTTTGTTATAAAATATCAAAAATTTGGTATTACTTCATTAATATATCTCTGTATGTGCATATATGTATATATACACAGATATAGTTTAACATGTTTTAATGTAGTATTTGAATTTGGTATCATGTTTTATCTACTTAGCTGTTTTGTCATTTTCCCATGTTATCAAAAATTCTTTTAAAAAATTATTTTTAGTCCTGCCTAATAGTCCATTCCTTCAGTACTTCACATTTAAGTTGCTTTCATTTTTTTTTATAAATAATGCTGTAATGAATGTCTTTGCTTATAAATCCTCACAGTTCTACCTGTAAATAGATTCCTAGAAGTTCAAGAACTAGGTCAATGAGTCAAACTTTTTGAAGCCTCTTGAAACATTCTAAAGAATTGCATTCAAGAAAGGTTGCACCAATATACACTTCCAGCACTGGTATGTGAGAGTGCTGATTTGAAACCATCCATGCTGGCAAAGAACAATATAATTTATATATTAATCTTTGCCAATTTAGTAGGTAAAAATTATCTTAACTGTTGTAAGACATTGCTGCAGAGGTTTTCTAAACCATATACAGTGATGGGCATAAGTAGGATTATAGTTGTTCATATAGAAAAAGAAAAACACATGGGGTGGGGCGAGAAGGGGAGAAGGGGGGTTGGGGGGGGGGAGAAACATCTGTAACAAAAATAAATTAATGAAAATTGGAAAAAATAAAAGACAGATACAAATAAATAATCTAATAATAAATAATAATACAACTCACAACTATAAATCTACTTTTGCCCACCTGTGTGTGTGTATATATATATACACACACACATTTGTATTTCATATTATAAACATTTGTATTTCTTTTTAATAATACTCTTTGACCATTTTTTCCTTTTGACATTATTATATTTATCCCTTATTTTTCATTGATTATAAATATTTTCCCTGCTTGCTGTTTATTTGAGAGCTTTGTCTATGCTTTTGAGTTAGAAATCCTTTACATTTTATTAGCACAAAGGAATTATTTTGGTAATTTCATACACATCATGTACACTCACATGTATATACTCATACCCTCCCCATATATACAAAAATTCTATAGTTAGTTAAATACCCACCAATATTTTCTGTGTGTGTGTGTGTTTATGATTTTTTTATCCTATGTATTTAATCATTTTAGAATGACTTTATTTATAATGTGAGGTATGGAGCTAATCTTTTTGTTTTCCCCTAGTCATTGAATAATCCACTTTCCCCCTGGCTTTACAATTCTTTATAATAGTTATAAATACTAAACTCTGTGTTAAACTTTTATATTTTTGTTGGTATTATGAAAGGGTTTTTTTTTCCACATTATGTTTTTGCTCCTGGTTTCTAGCTAGTGGTCCTTATATAGTTTTTAACTAGCTACCTTTCTGAATTCTTTTATTAATTTTAATGCTAATAAAATTAGTAGTATCTCTTGGACTTGACTTTTTTGCATCTTCTAGGTACATAATCAGCCAGTGTATTATAGACAAGGTTGATTTTGCTTCTTTTCAAATGGTAATGCTTCATTTCTGTTTATTGCTTTTTGCAATGCCTGGAACTTTCAGATCAATGCTTGCTCATAGATATTTAAGCAAATTAATTAACCTCTCTGCTTTCAGTTTATTCATCTATATAAAGGGAATCATAGTTGTATGAACCTCAGGGTTGTTGGGAGAATTACATGAGTTAATAATATATGTAAAGTACTTAGAGCAGCCCCTGGCACATAATTAGCACATAAATTAGCTTTTGGACCTAATTTTCAACCAGAATACTAACTGAAAGAAACCTGAAAAATGCCATTCTTAGCTTTTGCAGACAGCAGTTAGAAAGTCACCCTAGGAGGAAGGTGGACTAGAACAGTTCTCCTCAGCTTTAATCTACACACAAGTGGTCTCTTGTTAAATGCAGATTGTGATTACATTGGTCTAGGGTGAGGCCTTAGATTTTGCATCTCTAGTAAATTCCCAAGTGATGCTGCTATCTACCCCCATGGACTACTCTGAGTGGAAAAGGACTAGAGGATAAACAAGACAATCCACGGCATTCACCATACTATCTGTAATGATAGATATAGATGTAGATATATAACTGTAATGATAGATATAAAGATATAGATGTAGATATAAATGTATAGATTTGTTCTAGGTTCTACAAGTGATAATACTAGCGCAAACCAGAATGCAGGTCTCCAAACTCGAAAGCCAGTGTTTTTTCATATATACAAAGAGCCCTCCTACATGGTGGGTGAACAGTCACTAACAAATCTGTTGCCCTCCCTTAGATTATGTAGTTCAAAATTAGATATTCGTTTATACCCACTTCCTTTTAAATGCAGTTTGCAAGTAATACTATAACAAGTGCCGTGAGTTTAGATGAAATCAGCCCTGAACTTAATCTCATGTTGTTCCCAAGGATGTCCAGTCACTAGAGTAACTCAGGGAATAATTTTGCATATGGTAGGCATTTTTTATCATTATTCATAGTGTAACCTCTAAATCAGTGGGTCTTAACACGGACGTTTGGCGATGTCTGAAGAGGTTTTTCATTGTTAAAACTGGTAGAGTGCCACTGGCCTCTTATAGGAAGAGTCTAGGGATACTGCTGAACATCCTGTAATTCACACAACATTCCCTCCAACAAAGCTCAAAATAACTGACATTGAGTGCCAAAGTTGAGAAACCCTGCTCAAAATGTATTAGGGTTGCCCTGGCCAGTTTGGCTCAGCGATTAGAGTGTCGGCCTGCAGACCAGAGAGTCCCAGGTTCAGTTCCTGCTAAGGGCAGGTGCCTCGGTTGCAGTTTGTCCCCATCCCCAGTTGGGGTCGTGTGGGTGGCAACCACTCTGTATGTCTCTCTCACATCAGTGTTTCTCTCTCTCCCTCCCTTCTACTCTCCCTCCTGCTCTATCTGAACATAAATGCAAAAAAAAAAAATGTCCTCAGGTAAAGATAAAAAAAAAATGTATTAGGGTTATAGTGCTTTCACTTGTCAAGAGTAATTACTCTGCTAGTAGATATTCCAATGAATATGTAAAAATTGCTTATTTTCTCGAAGCCTACCTACATTCCACAGAGGTAGTCTCCCAACTGATCTTTTCTTGCATCTCTTCTTCGAGCAGCCCCTCATGTGCAACTTCTCTATTTTGCTCTCTCTCTCATCTTTTTCTGCCCTTCCCTACTACTCATCTCCTTTTTATCTTTCCTTATTGAGTGGCTCGTTTTCTCTTTGTCTTTTATTCTTCTCAGCTATTTTCTCTATACATCTCCACCTCCCCACTGCATCCTCTCCTCTGAAAAAGTGGAAAATTATGGAACAAGGAAAACGGTTGTGGCATATGACAGTTCCAAACTTGAATACTGGCTTTACTACTTTATTAGCCTTGTCATCCTTAATACTTCATCACTTAGAGCAGCAATTTTCAACCTTCTTCATCACATGGCACACATAAACTAATTACTAAAATCCTTCAGCACACCAAAAAATATATTTTTTGCTGATCCAACAAAAAAAATCAATATAATTTTGATTCACTCACACTAAAGGCTATTGTTGTGTTGGCTGTTGTCATTTTTTTATTTGACAATCTAAGGGAAAATAGGTCAGTGCCCCTGACTAAATAGTCAGGTATTGCGTGTTTTAAAAATTCTTGCAGCCCTGGCCCGTTTGGCTCAGCTATTAGAGCGTCAGACCATGGACCAGAGAGTTTCAGGTTCGGTTCCCATTAAGGGCACATACTTCAGTTGCA